TAGCCCTCTACGAATTGTAGACCTCCTGTCAAAAGTGATCGATTTCTTGAGGCTACTATTAAATGAAAGACCGATCACTATTCGTAAAAATCCGTTTAATATATATAGTAAAATCTCGTTACATGCATAACTACTGGCTACCTAGACCCGTACCGTATTCTTGTTTGGATGTGGTCACACCATGCACATCTCGTGAAACACACACCCCTGTCATCAGGGTACGTGCAATCCCATTACACCTTCCCCTATTAAGATTGAGAACATTTACAGTTCCAATCGATTATTGCCTCAACGAGGCTCGCGTGTCCGCTAGACACTGCAACTCAATTTGGTGGAATCAAACGACTTTCTTTCTCAATGAGCTCTGTGTCCACGACACGAAAGTCACCAAGTCTTGCTGGTTCTGACAGCGAGCACGGGCAGCCCAACTTCGTCTCCCGCACGCGGTGCGTTGTCGGACAGTGCGTCCGTGGCACCGGGGGATGTACATCCTAGGCTCGATGAGCACGAACGTCGCGCTTTGCGCACGCTATCAGTGACAAGTGACGTCGGTCAGAATGTGGAGATGGTTGACTACACGACTGACACCCCTTTCCCCGCATTATATGACGAGGAAGGCGAGTTGCGCCAGCAGCGTAATACGAGCCCTGCTCGTGTCTTGCGGATCCCATGTCCATTCCCTGACTTCTCGTCAACCGAGGCACGTGGTGTGATCACCAATGACCTCGACAAAGAACAGAGGCGGCAGCTTGAAGCTGCCCATAAGTTGGCTATTAAGCGCGCCCATCCGCGGCCGGTCATTGACCTTCGTCTGGAATATGGCTTCCGCCCAGCGGATCCCGCTGTGGAAGCGAAGGACGCGGTAACTCGATCGTTACGCGACCACATCATCGGGGCCCCGGCCAGAAAGGATGATGAACTTGCCTCACGGGAAGCTCTTCGAGCTCGTTTCTTGGTCCCACAAGAAATTCCGTCAGACGTTTATCGCACTCGTTTACGTGCTCAACGAGGTGGATTTCATGTACCCGCCATGCGGACGATACCTGTAGTGCTCGCCCCTTGCGAAT